ATCTCCACCGTCGTCACCGTCTCCTCCACATCGCCCAGGATCATGTTCAGGTGCTGATCGTAGGCCTGCGGGAGAAGAACGCACAAAATGTTTAAAGCAAAAGAGTTTAAAAATAAACCAGAAGCAACCAAACTGCATATTTTCAAAGATTCTCAGAGAGTTTCTCTGCATCCCAAGCTGACACACAGAGGACTACACTAGAATACAGAAAGCATGGACCCTGCAGGGCGAGCAGCTTACATGCAGCCGGCCGCGGAGCTCCCGGTCGTTCCTCATCTTGACGTAGATCCGCTCATCGAGGCTGAGTCTGATCAGATCGAGAGGCTCCTCCACTGTGTTGGTGGTCGGTTGCTGCAGCACAGAACAGATGTTAGCCACACCTTTGACGTTACATACATGCACATTTAATCATGTGTAAAGACAAAAACAAACTTCATTACTTAAAGAGCAATTAAACCAAGCGATTATTCATTTTAGAAGAAAGCTGTTTTTTTTTTTTCTTAACAAATAAATCTCTTGCAGCCTCTGACTAAACCCAGAACTTCACTTATCGGCAGCTGCTTTATTAGGTGTTCCCAAAATCCTCACAGACTCCCATAAACAAATGATATAAGTAGCTGAGGATCAGCAGTGTTAACACAAACAGGAACTAAACACTTTCCCTTTGACCCGCACTGACCAAAGTGAACAAGGCAGTAAGTAATGAATCGACAGAGCTGCACCTTTGGAAACTAGTTGAAATATTCGTGCTATGCTGCTGACTTACACCTAAAACTGTTTGCAGACTTTGGGGATTTTGGAAATAGGTGAATTTATCTTTTAGAATCCCAGAGGTGGAAATCACAAATTGGTGAAATGTTTGGGGGAAGATTTTATGATCTAAACAATAAATTCAGCTGCTGGCACAAATCTGCAGCGTCCATGTGGAAATAATTTGGAGCAGACAGATAAGAGATGAGATGAAGAAGCGTGTTATTGCCATCACGTTACAGTTTATTGCACACACAACAAGGTACACCTAACAAATACTTTCATTACTGATCAATCTGCCCACTATAATCTAAATTGAGTTAAATGCTCAGTCTATAAGATATTTTAAGAGAAATCTAAAAATCATGCATCACATTTTACCATCACTGGTGTCTCCATTCAATATCATCTTTTGTCCAAACCAAAATTCATTCATTTACAGTTTTATAAAACTGTAAATTAAATCAAATGCACAAACACTAGAGGAGCTTTAAATGTTTAGCTTTCAAATTGTTATGTTAGATTAAAAACCATGCAGCTTGATTATCTGCCAAATGAATGATCTATTGGCTGACTTAACATTACAAAACTACAATCAGACCTTTTGGGCTAACTTGCCTTAAAACATTTGGGAAATAAATCTGAATATACTCCACAAGAGTCTTATTTACATCTCTGTGAGTTACAGTAAAATGTTAAACCTTTGCTATGAAACCTGACAAAGCAAACTTCAGGTCTTTTCTGTAGATTTAACTGTCACAACACCTGGAAGGCAGCATGAAAAGAAATGCAGTAAAAGCCTTCTGTTGGTTTCCTACCTTGTCATTTACCACAAATACCAAAGTTTCTAATTGCATGTTGGCTGTGCAGCCACAAGTCCTTGTTTTAAACAAATCTAGTCAAACTTCTGCTGATATTAGCTTTTATCCAACACTTACGTAAACCAAACAAACCGCAGAACCTGTAGACAGTGATAGCTGCGTGTTATTCTACATTAAACATCTTTAATCTTCACTATAATGAATTTAGCTGCTTGTCAACAGAGCGCCAGTCCAACACGTTTAGTCAGAATGAAGTTAGCATCGGATGCTAGCCGGGCTAACTCAGCTAGCTGGTTGTAACAGGCCGCTCCGCGCTTTTAATGTATCAACGACAAACAAAGAGAGACGTCGAACACAGTGAATGAAGTTCATGAGCAAAACTGCCTGTTGCTCCTCTCTGGGGTTAATTAAATCCACGCTGTGTTAAGAATAACAGCCGAATTGAACGCAGTTGCACCAACCTGCTCCACTTCGTCCGCCATGATTTTTGAGTCTGCGTCGCGTCGGCTGAGCGGTACGGAGGTTGCCAGGTCTGCGGAAAAAACGCGTTTCCACATCGCAGCGAGGAAATAGAGTCGCCTTCAAATGTGTTCATACACTTCCAGTAAAGAAAAGGCCAAATTCACAATAGTAATGAAAAAAAAAATAATAGATAAAAATTTGCTAAATTATATTTTAGTGAAATAAGACGTTGCTTTTGAATTGTGGTTGAAAAGAATAATTTAAAAAATAAAAGAAAATAATTAGAGCACTTTGATGAGCAGTGAAGCCAAAATACCTGTGAACAGGTGCAGAAGTCTGACTGAGGGTTACAGAAAACACCTGATAGCAGTGATTGGCTCAAAGGGTTGCTCAACAAAATATTGGTTTATGGGTCCCATCATGCTTGTTTGCGTGTTGTTGTTTTGTTTTTTTTTAAATTTATTATTACTTTTGTCTATTTCAACTTATTTCAGTGACAACTGTTTTTTCCTTCTTTAATGAGAGTGTTTGAATAAATCTGAGGACGACTGTAGATCTGCACTTTAGCTCTCTAGACATTTCTCCTGTCTTAACATTGCAGGTGTTTAGTGCAATGATGTGCGCTGTTCTTATTTTTGATTTTTTAAACTATTTTTATTTCTTTTCTCATCCTCATGTACTCATTTGTGTTTTTATTTTCCAAACTGCATCAGCAGAAACACCAAAAACATAATTCAATAGTACACAAGGGTTAGTATAAAAGCATAAAACAAAATTAAGCACAAATCCTGTTGGTGCATTCACACGATCAGACAACAGTTAAAAAAATGAAGTCAGAAATGTGCAAACATAAAAAAAAAATACAGTCAAATGTATGAACATTAAAATGAAAACAGTAATGCAACTGTTTTTGCATTTCTGTATAAAGCATATTGCTGCATATTTGCAGAAATGTAGTGTTTTATGGTAGCAGCAGCACAAAAAGCACAAGCTGTGTGTCAACCTATGTATCTCGATGTGCATTTGATTGTTTAACGCCAAAGTTTAAGAAATATTTGTAAAATGTTCGTGTCTACTGTGTCCATGCAAAGTTTTGATATATATCATGCAAAAAATAATGTCTGGGTTTATGATATATAAAAGTTAGCAATAACAGCATATACATATATTTTGTGAAATGAAAAAGAAGAATTTTCAACAGATGGCTGGAATGACTCGATTTAAGGGTTATTTTGTCAGGGGGTGCATCTGCATCAAAAATAAGAAATCATTTTACAGAAGATGGAAAAAAGCCACCTGGAACCTTTTCCATATTGTGTAACGCTGACAAAAGGCCGGGGAAAGACTTCTGTGTTGCTTGTAGCAGACTGTTGTTGTGCTGATTCAAATGGTCAAACAAATGAGCTGTGTTGCCTCATCGCACGATCAACATCATCCTCACTGTCATCAGAATATTTCCATACCACTGACTTTGCATTTGTTTTTGCAACCAGATCTTCTTTTTCCGTGTGTCTCTCTTGTTTTGCAGCACATTGTTGGGCACCTGCATGTCAACTTTCTTTTGTATAATGCTGTTTAGAAACTCAGGAGTAAATGGTGATCTAAGCTTCAATCAGGAAAAATGAGAAGTGTGGAAGCTTTCTCGTTCATATCAATAAGCGAAAAAGTCGTATCACGTGATGCACAGTAGATGCACGTTTCAGTTCTACTGTGCAGCGCTGGTAAATGTAACCGCATGAATTTCCATGAACCTGGCTCTAGATGTGGAGCCTGAACACAGTCAGAACATTTAAACGTGACTTTCTTTAGAACTGAGAGATGAAGGTCTGTGTTCTCTGAGTGGACTTCTAGTCATAGCAGCGTAGATTTAATACAAACATTAAGCCGCTGTCTTCAGAAATTTGAGCATCAAAACATTAATTTTCTGCATTTTGGTGAATTTTTTATAAACATTAAATTATGAATTTGAGCCTTTTCTGCATCAGTTTATAGTCGAAAGTCTTTAATTGTGTATAATCGAGCTCAAGATTGTAGCTAATCTAAACCAGTTTCTTCATTTTAAGTATTACAAGTGGATGTATTTCAGTAACGATGCTGCCTGGTTGTAAATTACAGATAAAATTGTGTTTTTTCTTATCAGCTTAAAAGTGTGTAAATGAAAAGTGGAGAATACATAAAAATCGACAATTTTTTTCTTGTTTTTCCTGTATATCAACACATTGCCAGAGACAGTGAATTAGTACTAGGTTTAATAGTTTAGTAAGTTTTAAAAAAAAATAAAAAAGATAAATAAGTCACAATTATTATTATTATTATTATTTTTAAATTATGCTTCGATTAGTTTTGATTTTTCGTTTGAAGTAACTTATAACTTTTTTTTTCTTTTTTAAAAAAAAATAAAACATAGATTTACAAATAACTCTACCAAACGACTACAACTCCTGCTAGCAGTGTTAAAAACAACAAAAAAAAACACAAAAAAAACGCCATACAGTATTCGTGCAGGAGGAAGAAGTGCAAACCTGGCAACCCGCTACGTGAGGATAAGCGGTACCACTCTCCTCCCTGTCCGTCTCTCGTTCCAGACCTTTCCATCTTCCACGTCTCCGTTCAGCGCAGCAAACTGTTCTGAGGTAACGAAACTAAAAAAAATTACACATTTTCTGACACTCGTGACTCATTTCTTCGCGAGCAGGAACCGCATTTATATAATTTATTGCGTGTTTTGTGGAGCGACTGTAAAGCGACAACTCTCAAGTTCGCAGCGACGCATTTACAGTAATGTGGTGTTGGCAGGTCAGCCGTGGAGTAAAATCAGGTAGAAAACAACTCACTAATACCGTATTGTTATTATTTAAAAGGTAAATTACTCGTCAATACTATTGCACTGGCTAATTTAATAGACTCTGCATCATAACTGCGAATTATTATTATAAGGACTTTTTTATTTATTTCTAGCCTATGTGAGGATAAAACTGAATATAAAAGAGGTTCCGTTGCGTTAAATCCACGCATGAACGCCTCAAAGTGTTGCTGTTTGCTCTACTGTAGCTTAAAGAAACGGGTTTAGATCATATGTTGGACTGTGTTGGTGCCACGTGTGTCTGCAGCAGGTTGGAAAAGTTTCACAAGTGGATAAAATCAGAGGGCTAGAAGCTATTTTAGATGTTTTTCCGAAATGATTTTAGTTGAAATCTCAAATCTAATTAAAACTATATTAGTAATATTAACTAATTAGTTGATCTGAAAAATAAATAAACAATATTTTCATTGTTGGTGGATGCAAAAGCTGTGACAATTTTAGACTTTTTAAACACACAAAACCAGAAATTTGAAGACATTTGCTTTGGATAATTTTGATTTCAGTTCTATGACGTCTGTCCCTTCAGAACTTAAGCTATTATTTGTGACTGGATGATCAGATTCAGACGTACAACCTGCATTTTGCATCTAGTCCCTGTTTATCTGCATCCAGCCCATTCATCCCCAGTGTCATCTTCTGGCTCCTCAAACTTAATTAGATGTGTGCATATTTTACTAAATGCCCCGTCACTCTTTTTTTTTTTCTTCTTTTTTTTGCATGAGTCTTCCTTCCTTTGAGGTGTAGAGTTGTGTATCTACTGGTGCCTCCTCTCCCAATTCAGCCCAGTGCTCCATACTGGGTGTGTGTGCAGGCTGAAGAGGCAGATCAGAGCAGCGGTGTTACCCATTCCATCCTGAGCTGCAGCGTTGCTCTGTGGTGGAAGAGATCCCTGCTACAGAGAAAAACCCAACATGTGGCCCGGACATGGTTTCCAGCCAACACTCTGACAGCATCCTGTCATTACCGAGCCGTACAGATGTTAGATTTCTACACTTTGAAACGAGGCTTGTGTGTGTCAACGTTTGGTTTGCTCGTCCTGTTTTTTTTAAAGCTGGCAAGACATTTGTCATGAATGATTAACACGAGGCGGCGTCGGCCCAGAAGTGGCAGATGGTGCCGGGCTACTACTACTGTTCTCTCGCTCTCTGCTCAACAGGGTCCAGCGTGGGCGTGGGCGGCCAAAAGGTGGCGCCGGACGGCAAGATGGAAGATGACATCGGCTTCTGTTGTGGGTCACCGGGCCGACCCAGCGACCGGGTTAGTTAGTGTGGCTACTGGACTTAAACATGTCTTCATAGGAGGGAAACAGAGCACGGATCACACACATCCATCTGAGCAGGTATTGTTAGACTATAGACAGGTAATTTAGCAAGAAAAAATAAAAAAATATACTGTTTACGCGCCTAAAATACGAAAACACACAAAAGTTTACAGCTTCCTTGCATATTTTATTTTATTTTTTTTTAAAATACTGAAGTTAGCTCAAAGAAATAATTCATGTGGGTTATTGAAGTGCCCTAAATTATGCAAAATTCTCTTTTTTTTTTCATTTTTATCAACCCTGTGAACCCTAAAACTCACTAGTGGGATTGAAAGGCATGTTATTATTATTATTTTTGTTTATTTATTTATATCTAAATCACCTACTGACACCATCTATCAGAGCTAGAAGCTGTAAAAACAGAAAGAATGGCAGGATTTTCAACTTTCCAACAATCTGTGAAATTCCAGTCCACCTGAAAATGTAACCAAACCTCAGCTTAAAATCATGTTTCAGCAAAATCAATGTATTCCAAATCTGTTGTTAGAAAAAAATGCAAAAAATAAGTTGTTTTCTGTGACCAGATACCAGCCAGGAAGCCATTATAGTTGTAGTTTTTGACCAATAATCACAAAAATTCAGGGATGTTTTGGCTAAAGTGGGTTCAGATAGGAGACGAATGAATAATTTAGGTTTTAATATACTTATAGTGTGTTGGGTCACCATTTATCCCAGTGCTGGTATCCTGTGTGGGCACAACAAAGCAGCAAAATGGTGTACATGCTCATTCAACTATTGTTTTTGTCTTTTTATTTTATTTTTTTTCATTCTAAGTTCGTCACACTGCATATAATACATTCTTGTTGTTGTGCTGCTTCCACTGAGTGTTAATAAGCATGAAAATAATAGATTCATTCATTTCACATT